GATTTTCAATATTAGAGAGAAATATAATGGCTATCTATCCTCTCCAATACTCAAACAGGCCAGTAATGGGAAATCACAAGAATTTGTGAGATCATAATACATTCTACCTTTGGGTACCATTAACCTTTATAAAATTCTTCCTTTTAAGGATATATATATATAATTTGTTACAGTAATCTGTGATTTATATAGCCTTTGAACACATACTTTATTTAGGCCTCACTTAGCCTTTTTGAATTATTAGTATCTCCATTTTACCAATGAGGGAACAGGTTTGCTCTGCCATATGAGGTTAAAAACCCTAAGGATCCAAAACCAGTAAGTTGAACAATATTTTAACCCAGTGTGTTCTGCCTTTAAGTCCAGTATTATTTCCACTCCTCCATAGCTACGCATAGTAGCATACTTGGTAATACAGAGAAAGTTCAGGCCTGAGTTATAAGTCAGGAGACCTGAGACTTTTCCAAATTATTTTGTCCTAGGTGCCAGAACAAAGTAATTCCCTAGGTATTGCTAACAGATCAATATAATCAGAGACAGTAAAGTCCATTTATTCATCCATTACTGAAAACTTACATTTCTACAGAAAACACTGTGTGCTTTTGAGTCAATTACAACCCACAGCGACCCATATATGCAGAGCAGAACTGCCTCATAGGGTTTTCAAGGCTGTACTCTTTATGGAAGCAGATCACCAAGTCTTTTCTCCCACAGAGCTGCTGGTGGGTTCAAACTGCTGACCTTTTGGTTAGTATCTGAGCATTTAACCATTGTGCCACCAAGGTTCCTGGCTAACATAATTATATATTTGAAGAAAATATACTTTAATGCATAAAAAGGAAGGAAATATAACTAACTGGGTTTTAGCAAGCAAGAGCAATTTCTACAAGGCCTTTATGATCATTTGTTTTACCCTTTACTTCCAGACACTGATCTCACATTGTTGGTACCCTGGCTTTGACAACATCCAGAAAAATGTCAAGAAGAGTCCTATGCACTAATGAAATTTAAATGTTATTTATAAAAATCATAGGAATTAAAACAACTCAGATTGCAATTCTGTTCGCTAATGGAACTATGGTGAAGTGCTGCCCTTCAAAGAACTGCAGCATTCTGTTAGCCCACATTAACAGCAAATGCTATTGGGTATAAAAGGGGGTTTGTAAGAACAGCTACCAAAGAAGAAAAGTGTGCATATTGTGCTTCAATTTATGCTGAGAAAAGGAAACTTGGCAAACAACAAATACTTGATATTTTAAAAGCCCTTGTTCATACAGCACACTTATATTCAAAAATGGCCTCATGCCATTAGCAAAAAGGAAATGGCAACAAAAGAACTGGTGCTCATTCAAGGAGAAAGTATAAAGCATCTTGTTTACTGTTTAATTGTTTAATTAGGCAAATTAGACAAGTTTTGTTTCAAATGTAACAACTGCAAATTAAATGGAAGTAGGAAAGAAATTTCATTTTGGCAGTCTGAATTTTTAAAGCTAAGAACTCTTTCATCTAATCAAATTATTTCATTTCACAGATAAGAAACTGACACTCAAGAAAACTGACAGACTTACCAAAGGTCATAATGCTAGTTCAAAGCAGAACTGAAGTTATTCACTCATTCATTCAACTCTTCATGGAGTTTACTATCTAGTGGAGGATGCTAGTAAGCCAAAGGAAATTACAATACTACATATTAAGAAAATATCCCTACAATAGAAATAAACACAGTAAGGTCTGGGAAAACACAGGAAAGGCAGGGAGCCCAGTCATGGAAGGTTAGGGAAGAGACCCGGAGAAAGTGACATTTAAGATCTAAAGATAAATATCCCTTACCCAGGCAAAGGGGTAGGGTGTGGGAGGCAGAAGCGTTTGAAGAAAAGGGGGAAGAATGTTCCGAACAGAATAAGAGTAAAGTCCTAGAAGACAGCACTCATTACTTAGCTAGAATTTATAATATTGAGAAGCAAAAGATGAACAATGAGAAGAGGGATCAAAGCAAAGGGGCTTGTAGGTCACTAAATAATATGGACTTCATCCTAAGGGTGTATAGAGAGGCACTGAAGAGATTTAAGCTTGAGTATTAATTTATAAAGATGTTGCAACCTAAGTGTGGAGAATGGATTGGACTAAGAAAGCTGGAGGGAGATGCTGTTTCAGTCATCCAAGAAAAAGGCTAAGATTGGCCTTCACTGGGGAAGTGGCAGTAAGAACAGAAAAGAAGTAGATGAATTCAAAAGATATTCATTATCTGAGCATTCATTACCAAAAGTTACTTGAGGTTAAGAGGCCCACATTTAGAAGGTTACACAGAGAAGCAAAGGTCATCTTAATATGAAATAGTTCTCTATTGACCACTGACAAAAGAGTAAACCACTCAACCCTCCCACATCTATACCTGACCAAACTACTAAGAGTAGTTATAAACATCAAGAGCACAACACAAATAAGACGCAAATACTATGCAAAACAACTATAAAAGAAATTGTAATTCACACAAAAGTTGAACAATTTCAAGAGTTCAATGAAAGTTAAGTTGGAGAACACTAGAATCACACCAAAGATGAACGAGGATCAGGGAGTGAGAGACTAAGAATTAAAGAAGGAAAAAGCAACAAGGACATTAAAGCTACTTCAAAGTAGTACAATTTTTGTATCAATACATTCAGAGAAGCCTTTGAGAAATGTTTAAGTCCTGGAATAGGTTTTGCAAAAATGCCCCTATTTATGATCTTGCTGCAAAAGTCAACAATGATGTAAAGAAAGTCATAAACTTCCTAAGGAAAAAAATAATGACAAAAATACAACATTTGATTCATTTTTTTAACCTAAGAATTAACACATACATGTTGCCAATATAATTTTACTGAAAAGAAGACAAAATGAGCTTTGAAAAAGTTTTTAGTTTATTCTTCAAGTACTATTAATATTTTTGTTTAATTATTTTCTATCAAAGTTTGGTAAAATTCAAGTGCTTCTTCTAATGAAAATTAAACTTTGATAAGAAGTACATAACCTAGCCAAAGAAAGATGGGTGGTGATGTCAGCCCAAGATTCTAATTTTAATTCTGCTATTTACTAGTTCTGTGCCTGCTGCCTCATCTATAAAATGAGAACATCATTAACTTCTGGGATTAAATCAGATAATGTATATGTAGTACTTTAGCATGGTACCTGCTTCTCCTGAAATAGGCTCTCCTGGCCTCCAGCCTTTGGGATGACCACTGTCACAAATCATCCATAACCACCACTCAGTAATTACCTAGTCCATTTTAACTATGTCAATTAATTTAACAACAGACATTTCCCATTGTTAGTTTAAATAGACTGAAGTAACAGCACTGAAATAACAGGACGATGAATATTATATGTTTTAAATCAGGTACATCAAAGGCCACAATCCTGTATGATCAGGAAATCTTCTGTGGAAAATCTTATCAAGATTTCTTCAAGAAATTAAACAAGCGAGTTTTTGAGGTTAATTACTGAACACATGAAGACTAGTATAATATTTCTGTGGTAGTAAAATGTTTTGTAATATCCCTTTAATTCAGTCATTTATAAGTGGTTTTTTAATCACAAAATTTGTTTATTTATCTTTTGTTTTAAATTTCTAATTTCACTGCATTTTGGCCAAAGAAAGTAACCTACCTGATTTTCTACAGTCAGACCTTGCTGACATTTATGTAAAGAATGTTTTCACTTAACAAAGCATGTTCAAACAGTGTGCAGAGTTAGAGAAAGCATGGTCGAAGACTGGTAAACCCTTTGAAACAGTGTAAAAACTAAGGAAAAAGCCCTCCTTCCCTTTACAAACATCATTCTCTAAACATATCATGGTCTAAGTCAGAAGATGTATCCTCTACTAAGCTAACTGGCGGCCTCTATTTAACTCATCTTCATATTCTCAACCCCTAGCACAAGAGTTCAAAAATTTCTTGATAAACAAGAAAATAAGCCCTTACAAGACTAAACCATCTTATAAAATAGATAGGGGCACATAAAATTATTTCTCTATTTTAAAAAATAGGAAAAAAAAAGAGTATTAGATAAAATATTTTGTTTGTTATATCCTTATATATCCTTATTATCTTAGATCCTTATATCCTTTACTTCCCAGTCCAATAACCAATTCACCACACCACCTCTATCAAGATGAAAGGAGACCTGGAAGACTAGAGGACACCTGGTAACAGTCAAGTTCTTTTCAACAAACTCCTATTACATGTCATTACCATCGCTCTTTAGCATCTATCACTAACTCATGTTATATAATAGTTTATCTACACATCTTATCTCCCTTACTAGACTATGGGCTATTAGAGGGCCAGGAGTGTCTTAGGTTTCTTTACTATTTTCTATTTTCCTCATAGCACTTCAGGCTGTTGTTAGTTTCAACTCACGACAACCCCATGTGTCATAGCACTTCATATAACTTTTTCTTCATACAACTTTTTCATAGCTCTTCATACAACTTTTTCATTTTCACTTCTCTCATTTATACTGAATAAATTAATAAATGACTGTGTGCTCAACTCTCCATCCTTAAGCAATACCTTTAAGAAGCTGAAAGCAAATTAAAACTAAAATTATCATGAGGAACCTTGAGGTTGAATAGAAAAACAAGCTCCAAAATGTCAGCCAAACAAAAGGAGTCTGTGAGAAGGAAGGATAAATCCAGCTTAGTTTTGCAAGACAGTGGAAACTCTTTTTCTATGACTCACTCAGCTGTCAGATTAGCAGTAGGTTCTGTTATCTATACCTCAAAATACCCACAGGCAATCGTGCCATTCAGTATGCCCAAGAACCCCTTTACTTCCAGGTTCTGGTGAATCAGGATGTTAATCACTAGGAAGAAACCTATGCTCAATCCATAAAGATTGTGATTATCACATAAGAACCTAGTGTTTATAAATCTGGACACTGCTGGAGGAAATGACAGTCTACTTTGTATTCTTCCTTTTTATCCACCATTAAAAATATGCTGGGGTGCGGGGGGAACTTACTTTGAGCAGCCAAGTGAGAACTGAGTCACGATATGGAACAAATTTATTCTTGTTTTTGCCAGCACTCTGATCTGCAAGGGCTGAGATAACCAGACCGAGGGTTGTGAGGGACCTGCATGGTGCAACAAACCATAATAATCATAAAAAACTGACTATATCAAATATCATATTTTAGTACAAAGATTGAATATCAACATGTCTTTGTACCTGCATGTCAGCGTTTTACTGCTCAGCTTAAAAACACATTAACTCTAAGTAGCGTTATCCCTCTAATATTACTTTAAGAAATAAAACTGCTTAGCTCAATTATTTTTTTCTTTTTTGAACAAAAAAAATGCGAGCTGTAAATCTTTAGGCTGAGATAATTACATAAATATCACACATCTTTAAGAAAGGAAGTCACAAACATAATACAATGAATTAAAACAGTACAAAGTAAAATATATATACATGGGTTTATTTTTTGTTTTTTGCTTTGTACTGTGTTTATATATATGTATATATAAGTTTATATATGTGTGTGTGTGTGTGTGTGTATATATATATATATACACACACACACATAAAAAAGATTCTATAATCTCCACTCAGTAGTAACATAGCATTCTGGATGATGGTGTTCTATAATCTCCAGTTAGTTTCTGATGACTTGCTATGTGTCCTTCTGCAAGCCACAGGATAGAAAAGATACCTGACCACAAACAGGTAACAGATGAGCCTGAGGGAGAAAAATATAACCATATGAAGGAATTGGTGAACAAAATATTACTTCATAAAGTCCTAGTTTCTTGGTATAGATAAAACCAAAACCAAAACCAAACCCTTCGCCGTTGAGTCAATTCCGACTCACAGCAACCCTACAGGACAGAGTAGAACTGCCCTATAGTTTCCAAGGAGCGGCTGGTGGATCTGAACTGCCAACCTTTTGGTCAGCAGCCAGGTTTTTACCCACTGCACCACCAGGGCTCCTGATATAGATAAGCAGTTAAAAAAAGGCAAGCCCAATGTGGGTAGTGAGCATGTTGTTTGTTCAGACAGTGACACACAAGTCAAGATCAACAGCTGGACTCTGACAGATCGATCATTTTTGTTATTTTCCATAGCTTAGACCAGTGGTTCTCAACTGGAGGGTGATTATGTCTCACAGGGAATAGTTGGCAATGTCTGGAGATACTTTAGGTTGTCACAACTAGGGGATGGGGGGTGGGGTGGTGACTACTACTGGCATATAGTGGCTAGAGGCCAGGATGCTTCTAAACCTAAACATCCTACAATGCACAGGACAGCCACCCCTACCATCATCTCCCCCAACACCCGCACTGGACAAAGACTTATCTGGCCCAAAATCTCGAAAATGCTGCTGTTGAGAAACCTTCAACTGACTGAAGCTGTGCTCCTCAGCCCCATCAGATACCTCAACAAAACAAAACAAAATGCACTCAGGCCTCCCCAAAAATACTAGAAAAATATTCCAAACTATTTATTCACTATAACCTTTATTTTTCCAGAATCTTATTATTTCTAAAATCATACAAAGTCCTCTATTTGGCTATTAAATCAATAAATAAAAGTGAGCTTCTGGAAAACTTACTTGTTAATGTTGCTCCCTTCCTTCAGCCTGTCACCTGCAGCTCCAGTTTTTGTTGCTCTTTCACTGCCAGCTAAATCAACCAAGCTCAGTTTACCCACTTTCTCTCCAGATGTCTAAAATACAAATTGATAAAAACTAATAAAGAGTTAAAGAATACAGAAAGTGAAACTGTGTCTACTGAATGGGTTTATTATCTCAATCCTTTATAAAAGAGTTATTAACATTATTTCTAAATTGTTTTGTACTGTTATAAAATATAGTAAGAAAACTGTAAAATCTAATTAATAGATACATACAAAATTATATAGGATTCTACTAATCTAGACATAATGAAAGTCTCAACAAAGCAGTGAAGGGAGTCCAATAAAATTTTCACAGAAAGGTATATAAAAGTATTTATAAGATATAAATTTTAATAATTTGAAACCATGTTTTTTAAAATTTCATGAATATTTATCTGAGGCAAAATACTTAAAATTCTCATTGAGTTAAAAAAATTAATCTGAATTTTATACAACAGAAGAATCCTTCAATAAATCAAAAACACTTTCTGAAGTTTTTCATATAATTCATATATAATAACTCCCTTATTTCATAATTACAAGTATTAGATTTACATTGTTTTCCCGGATCAGACATATACAGGCATCTTTTTAGTAGATAAAATTTCTCTTTTGTAAATAAAAATGTGAGCTGTAAGTCTTTAGGTCAACGTAATTACACAAACACCACATCTTTAAGGAAGGAAGCTGCAAACACAATACACCGAATTAAAACATAGTTTTAATTCAACAGTTGTATCATACTCACAGGAACACACAAACATATATGTAATGGATATTTTATACTTCAGCAGCAATGTGAGAAATGTGGGAAATCAATGCCAAAATCTATAGATGGGATCATTTTTTAGAACTTTCCTTTAAAATATATGATGTAAATGTGTTGCTAACAAAAGGTATTCAGCCTCCCGAATCAAAAGTACTTTTGGTTTAAAAATAAATAAAAGTCTTCAGTATGTTTTTTGTTTTATGCTGAAAAGGAAATAGGAAACTAAGAAACTTCTGTTGTTATACTAATCTGAGATGGTAAAAGAAGAAAAAACATGCTTTCAGCAAATGAAAATCTTATCCCAAAATATAGCACTTTTGCCAGGGTGATTATTTTAGAATCTTGTATTTGAAACTGATTCACTGGGGGGGAAGGCATCATAATAAAATATGCAAAAATTAACATTAAGAAGTAAGGGAAAACAAATGGATGAGTCAGCGGAGAAGTCTTCAATGTGGTAGAAGCATACACATCTCTAGTCTGTTTACTCTTCACAAGATTCAAACCAAATACTCACAAGATTATTCTATAAATCTACAATTTTATAGTGTAATTTTCCCAGTGCAGTTTAGTCCTCCTAATACTTAGCTGTTTAGAAGGTAATATTTCAAAAGAATCTCCATAAAATCTATGACAGCACTGACATTAGCTAACAGTTAGCCATCACAGTCTGGAGAATGGCACTGCACGTGGCAGGCATGTACGAGGCCTGGTCTGGGTGAGAGAGATCTGATGCTAGAAGAAGAAAGACCCAGCTTGGTTGGGCAGACAAGGCAGGGGTCTGTGGATGAAGAGGGGCTAAGGAACGCTTCTGTGAAGGCTGAACTGGAGTTGTAGTAGAAACTGTGGATTATCAACTTGCTCAGCTTCTGTTCCACCATCTTTTAGTTGAAGAGTTTGAAGAGCTAAAACCGACATTTCTCAGACTCCCTTACAGCCCAGGCTCGCAATATGATTTAGGTTCTGCCAGTCAGATCACCTGCTTAAGATTCGGAAAGCAGAAGCCGTTCCCCTACTCCTTTTTTTACTTTTTCTGCTGGCAAGCTAGATCATGAAAACATGAGGTTTTTTTCCATAGGAGCGTTCCAGCATACATTCTCTAGCTTCTATGATGCTAAGAGGTAGCTGCACTGGTAGCAGCAACTTGATTCCTGCTTCCAGGATCACAGCTCTGGGGTGTGCCCTGAACTCATAGCTCCAGTGAAAACAGCATCCCTGATGGATCAGATCTGTATGTTCTGAGTTATTCCTAGAGATTCAGTCAAGAATCCATTCTTCCTCTGGTGATCTCAACAACTCTGTAATCACTCAATTCCCTGTATTAAACCCCTTTCTGTCCTGAGTCCTAACTAGTACACACGTCTAGCTAGAACTTTAATTCATCTAACACCTGAAAAAAATAAGATAAAAATCCACTTTAAAAATTAAAATAAGGTGATGTATCTGAACACTTACCCCAGACTTCACATCATATAAAGTATGTGTAAGGGTGATTTTGAAGACCGCATGGGATCTGCTACTCTCCTCATTCATGTTGGTTGCAGCAACTGTACGAGATTTGTTACCCTCAGACATCAAAGACTCAATATCCTAAACAGAAACAATTCAGAGATGTACATTTCATTATTTGTCTAATAAACATTAAAACTCTGCTATACTATGAAAAACCATTAAGATTTTCACTGCTTAGCCAACCACATTTGCAGTTTACATTTTGTTTCTCAATGTACATTAAGCTCCACAGAACACAACAGTACTCCTCTGAACTACTATGACTCCTCAACATATATCTATCACTGCTCTGTCACTGCTTTTACCATGCTGTTTTATAATACCTTGATAACATCCGTAAGCATTTTGAGGGAATGGGCCATCTCATTCATTTTTTATATCCCCAGCACCTAGCAATGCCTGGGACATGGAAAATGTTCAGTAACTGTTTACTAAATGAAGGAAACATCCAACAAGGAACAAACGAATCTACCTCATGAGACAGTCAAGACAATAAAATTCATTTTAAAAGTTAGGACAAAGAGGTTAGGTGAGGTAAAGTAAATGATCCAGAGTCATACAGGCAACAAGAGGAGCAAGTATCACTAGATCAACATTCTCTGACTCTTAATTCAACGTACATGACATCATAGTGCCTCATCCCACGCCCCCTTCATTCCCCAGTACACAAAGCCTAAAGGATTCACACAAAGCAGAACTGTGAAGTTTGAAAATGAAGAACACTAACTAAAGGCCAAAGCAATTGTAAGGCACATCACAATTTTAGAGATCATAAAATATGGGGAAAACAAATGTGTGCCTTGTAACTGATGAACAGGTATGCCTGGCAAATATGTACATTTTCTCTCAAAAATAAACTGTCCTAACAGCAACATGTAGCTTTTTAAGTAGAAGATTTTTTAAGTGATTTATTAAGTGATGCTACTGTAATCTTTTAATTTCAAAAAACTGTCACAAATTAAACAACAAAATATTTACCATAAATTTACGTAATTCACACAAAGGATGTTTTTACCTTGTAGCTTGTGACAGCCAGTTTAGAAAGTCCATCCACATAAGGTCCCAGCACACTATGCTCTCTGACTTTCAAAGTTTGACGGCTTCTGTTCATTAGAAACAAAGAAACAATTTTGTAATAATAATGAGTTTTAAAAAGGACTCAACCATACTCCATAAATATATACACTGAATTCAACAAAGATCTCAAATAAGTAAAACCAACTGACTTGATCCCAAAAGAATTTAAACCAAAAATTAAAATCTTGACCGGTAAAAAGAACTTCATAATGTGGTAAAATATCATCTCTCTCGAAAGGGTACACTGTGGCATGTCTATTTACTACCACAAAGAATGCAGAGTCAAATAAATACAAACAATCTACTTGTCTTATCTCAGAATGTAGTACAAAGAGCAGAAACTCAATAAATGTTAACTGCAAGAAAGAAAAACTATAGACCAATCTCAATCATGAATAAAGATGCAAAATCCTAAACAAAAAACAACAAAGTGAATCCAGTACTGATTTAAAATCACAAAATTGGCTTATTCCAGGGCTGCTACACTGTTTTAACATTGGAAAAAAAGATTCATGCACTTTACCACACTGACAGACTAAAGGGAAAAAACAAAAGTGCATGATCATTTCAATAAATGAAGGAAAAAGAATTCAATAAAATTTAATATTCATTCATATTTTTAAAAAAAATCTTAGTAAACAAGGAACTGATGAACTCATTAAAGGGTATTCGCCAAAAACCTAGGGCACATAGCATACTTAATGACATAAACCAAAACATATTAAGAATTAGTTGCTGATGATGAAATTACAAGTGATTCTCATTTTATGTTCTCTTGTTTATCTGCATTTTCTATCATGAATGTGTACTCATTTTGAACTACAGAAAATCTTATTTTTTAAATAAGTGAATAATAAAATGAATTATATTTCTTAAAATTCTTCAGTGACTCTTTGTTACCTACCAAATTAGGTCCAAACTCTTCAGCTTGATATATATGCCCCTTTATGATCTGCTCTCGCCCACCTCTTCTCCAATTCCTCACCATGGGTCACAATAACTTACTACATATATCCGTTCTTTAATAGACTCTGGACTCCATAAGAACAGGAACAATGTCTTATTAATTTTGGGGTCTGAAGTTCCTAACACAATTACTGGCATATAACAGTCCCTCAATGAATGAACAAACTTGGCTACAATGTGGGGAAAAGAAAAAGGGAGAATAAGGTGATGAAGAGGACTCTAACATAGCTGGCCTATGAGATCTGGAGAGATAATGTAGTAACAAAAAAAAAAAAAAAAAAAAAAACAGGAGAGGAAGAGATAATGATAAAGAATGTATAAAATGAGAAACTAACACAGAAGCTGAAACCAGATCCAATCTCTATTGTCCATAATAAAGCAAGCAGAGGCACTTATGATGAGATAATGAAGAAGAGTTACAGAATAACCTTTCATATAACCAGCAAAGTTACAAAGTGGGGAAAGACTCTTAAATCCAATACACTGATTATGCCTTAATATTGTCTGATAATTTGGAATTTTATAGTACCCTAGGATGAACCACTAAAAACTTCATTTATTACTACATAACTATTGATGAAGTAGATACTGAACAAATATTTGAATCAGTTCTGACTCCAGGATATATTCAATTAACTATTTTTTCCTTTCATTTTCCCCTTTTTTCAAAGATAATATATACTGTATTTATTATCTCCTGAGTAACACAACCTAACTACATTTTTACATATAGCAGGTGTTAAATTAATAAACTTAGTAACTGAATAAAAAGATGTTCTCTCAAATAGTTCTTGACTAAAAAAGGGATCACCTTTAGAGTTTTTTAATCAATTTTCAAGAAACTTTAATAGGGGAGATAAAACAATAGCTAAAACTATTAAGCACTTATATTCTAGTAAATGTTCTACATCCTCAGGTGTATTATCTCAGTCTATCTTCACAACAATCCTCTGAGATATTATGTAATATTATCATTTCCTTCTGTGCAACCTAGATCTAGAAAGTTAAGAAACTTGCTCAAAAGGTACTACACAGAGGACTGGATCCAGAGCTATGTGAATCCAAAGCCTATGCTGTTAATTACTAAACTATACAGAAGACAAACAGAAGAAATTACTAAAGACTACGAAGAAGTTGTACATGACCAAGTTCATGACAGTCCACCCAAGCACGGTGGAATACTCAAGAATGAACAGGTATGAAATCAGTTGGCTAAGAATTTCTGGAAAGACTAGGTCTGGGCTGGATCTCAAAGAAAATGATGGTTTTCACAGAGGTAAAGGTACAAAAAAAAGTATTCAAGGCAGAGCAAGAAAATGTACGAACGCACAGTATTAAGCAAGATGTGGGTACCTAAGTCATAACCTACCTACCTCTGGACTCCTTTTGTTCCCTATTTTGACTTAAATGGCACATTACCTTCCAAACTGTCATCTTATCCATACTTTGAGCTCTTCCTCAATGACTGGCATAGTGTCTGGCATATAATGATCACTCAATAAATGTCTGTTAAGTAAATTTTTGAAATACTAGGTGTCAATTCAATTTCCTTGTGAAAGTCCTGAAGATTATTATCTTTGTCAAAGAAAATAAATGCCAATTAGGAGTTAAGAAATTCTGTCTTCTTTGATTATCACTATGACTCAATGTCTCTAAGATCATCTTTCCTTGATCATCTTCTTCATCCAAACATAGCTAAATATTCCCTTGTTGTCCTCAGCACTTTTTGCAAGCCTCAGTTCACTGGGCTCTTTGACCTTCCTAAAATTGTTTTTACATCAGTAAGTCACTCTCCTATGGTCATTATCCCTGTTTCCTTCCCTACATTGCTGCACTTCCACAAAATCTGAACTCAGAGAACTCCCCGTGCAATAAACAGATTTCTTCAGGTACCTCCTCATCTTCCTCAGTAGGCTCATTAATGACTGAAGATTCAGAACAACATTTTTGAAAGCTTTCCAAAACTATTGAGCCATCTTCTCTTTCAAAGTCTAAGCCATGAGATTGTGGACATTTTTTTTTCAGAGAATTTATAAAATGAACTATCCAGAAGTTCAGTTTTCATATCTCTGATTATGTCTTCACAGCCTACAAACAGCTGAATTCCACCTGAAATTTCTTAGTTTACAAAAACAAAAACATTGTTTAAGGCTACCAGTTACTCTGACTACAAAATAATTTAGTACCTGAATTAAATATCTAAATTTAGTATCTAATTTAGTATCTAAATTAATAACTAAATACTTTTTGTTTTTGGCTTTGGAATGAAATCTGGGAAACACAGTCTGAAACAAATATATGCTGCTCAGCCACTGTCCTGGCCCTAAGCTCCCTTCTCTTCTCAGCCCTAATTTCAAAAGCCCAGACAGTAACTAATGATTCTCTATTAGAGTTCAATATGAAAATTTCACTTAAATCAATTAATTAAGTCTGTTTTAGTCCATAATGCTATACCATTAAAGTCTCAAAGTCTTTTTACCCTTTGGGATCAAGAAGGTCTCTAACTTTTTCATTATAAATTTCCATGTAAGACACTTCTACTTTAAAACTCTGCTCTTCATTTTCCTCTTTCTGAGTTCGTGCAAAGAGGCCACTGCAAAGTCTTGGGATTAATCCAGGTTGATCAGCTGTGCCCATCATGGTATAAGATTTTCCAGATCCTAAAATATGGAAATCATAGTTATTACAGTCTCTTTGAAAGTTTAAGTACATAACCCTCCTTTCATTGCTGATAATAAATTACTAGCAATTGGTGTAATACCCAAAATACAATAAGAAATGTACCCAAATATAATAAGAATAATAACTGCAGAAGCTTTCTTACTGCACATGAGAAAGTCAAAAGGAAGACCAAAAACGGTAAAAAAAAAAAAAAAAAAAAAAAGTCAAAAAGAAGACAAAAGCCTTCCTTAATAATCTTCATGCTTTTTCAAAAACAATTTAAAAACAGTGAAGTTTGAGAAGTTTTCTAAAACTAACTGGGAAAATGTGTGATTAATAGTATTGTGTCTATTCCCACCACTTTTGTGCCTATCCCTAACCACATAGCACAAAAAATATAAATGATCCCTACAGGCCCCAGAGCAAATTAACTTATTATTCCACTTTGGCAATGGTGTGGAAACCAAAGAATAATCTTCCTTTTCTAACATAAATTTTCCCCATTTTGACAGAAATACTTATTCAATAGAAAAAATAATTAAACTACTCATAGCCCTACCACCCAAGGACTGTAACTATCAACATTTAGGTATAATTCCTTTTCCCATTTTTAATAGCAGTCATTTGTAAACATGCTTTTAATCACACAAGTTACTACTTTCGTCACTTAACACTGTATTATTACGGTAATACCTAAAACTAATATACCACTTCCTAGGCACCAGGCTTTTTCTTAAAGTTTTCACACATTAACTCATTACCACAACTCATAAGAAATATCTATTATTATCTATGAAGTCACTGAGTGGTACAAATAGTTAATGCGCTCAGCTGCTAATCGAAAGGTTGGAGGTTCAAATCTGCCCAGAGGTGCCTTGGAAGAAAGACCTGGCAATCTAGTTCTGAAAAATCAACCCTTGAAAACCCTACGGAGCACAGTTCTACTCTGACACACACAGGGTAACCAGGAATCAGAACCAATTTGACAGCAACTAGTTTATTATTATCTACTTTTTACAGATAAGGAAATTGAGGTACAGAAAAGTTAAGTACTAATTTTTCTAGTTTCATAGCTAGTAAGTGGCAGAACCAGGACTGAAACTAGAATACACTGGCTCTAGAGTCCATGATCTTATAACCACTATACAATATTGTCTTTAGAAAATAGCATAAGCATTTTCCTGTGAAAAAATAGTTTTCAATTGGGCAAGCTATAAGATATACTCTTATAAAAGTGACTAATTTACTTTAAATAGATTTTCTTTTGACCATAGAAGTATAGAAATCAAAATGTTCCTTATCATTTAGAATAGATAAGATGTTAATAAATATGTTCCTTCTGGTATTTTCTCTGTTATGATCTTTAAAACTTAAATGAAATATATATTAGGCATGGTTAGTAGTATGTTCAATAGCCATAGCTCTGTAATGTATAGGAAAAAAAACTGCTACCAATTCCCCCTGTAGGAACAACACTAAAAAAAAAAAAGGAACCTAATCCTGATTTCAGTACAATCAGCTTAACCTTATTGCCTAATTTCACCTCATCTCATCTATAGTACTTTCTTAAAGGCAAAATAACAAAAAATTAATCAGCCATATGTTACTCAGTAAACATGGTTCTATTTTCTCCTTCACTGAAAGTTATTTGCTTAAGTGATTTTATATTATTTAACATTACCAGTTTGTCCATAGGCAAAGATACAAGCATTGTAGCCATCAAAAGCATTCTGAAGGATATTCTCCCCAAGGCACTTGAAAACATCATCTTGACCTGAAAGGACAGAAGGAAGGAAAGATGGAAGGAAGGCAGGTGAGAGAGAGAGAAGAAAGAAGAAGAAAAGATATTTTTAGCCAAAACTACATATAGCAATATTTTTAAAACTCAAAAATGTATAATCAACTTCTTTATCTCCCAACAAGAGTTCTAAGCTTGATGAATGCTTCCTAAGGTTAATGTCGTTCAGGTTACTTCTAGTTACTATGTGATGGAAAATGAACAACATTTCCCTGTAATACCTACTTGAATAAAACACTGGCCACGAATCTCTTGCAATGTAAAAAGCTGATGAGTTGCTTATTTTACAATCAATGATTTTATATATTATATATGCATATATGAAAATTACATTTGGGACAGGGTAGATCTGAATTTAACTATACCACTTAGCTAGTGCTTTTATTCAGAGGGCACTAGAGTTCAGAACAACCATACACACCAATCCCCTCTCTCTCCTTCTCCTCAATGATGATTCTTAATTACAGGGTCTGCAATATATACCATCTAGGAGAGGAAGAAAGACCTTGAAAATTTCTTTCAGCATTCAGTCATGGATATAAATAATAGGGTTAAATCCTCCTCCACAGATCAAATTAGATATGGCAATAATCAAATATGACTTTGGCAAGTCATTCAACTTCTCTGAGTCTCAAATATAATATGAAAGAACTAGATGCTGCTATGTTTTGGCAACAGCATGCAATTATATCACATTTCCTACTTAATTTACCAGATTAGTACATCATCATTATAGTTCTGGTATTGGGGCAATCCTTAAAGTCATAATAGAGCCAAACAGATCAAGTGGACCTTAATTTTTTGAAACAGCAATTGTACTATTTTCTCATAACAGAGGCCAATACAATATGACACTCAAAATTATTTAAAATAGATTGCTCAGAAACAGGTGTCAAAAGCAGTTAGGAATAAAGGAAATAAAAGGCTGTCACCACAGTACTAAATTTGTGGTGAAGGGGAGCTTAACATAATCATCATTTGGGAGAATAAAAAAATAATAGACTTCCAGAGCAGAAATAAAATTTAGAGAGAATATGGTATATTCCTCTTTATTGAAGACAGAAAACTGAAGCTCTGAAAACTTAAGAGATTCACTCAAAGTCACAGAAGTAGTAAGGAATAGAGCTTGGATTAAACTCTAGGTTTCCTTTTCTGCTTGGCCAGTGCCTCTCTAGACTACATTACATACATCTAAGGAAATCTAACTGGCTATTGTGTACTACTGTTCCCATGAAAGATCTGCGGAGGTGTCTGTGTGTAAGATAACCTCAGTTGTGTACCCTATTAATCTAACTGTAACATCTTATACCAAGAATAGCATACTGTGAACCTCCCATTTCCCAGGCAACATAAAAACTCGAATAGCAAGGATTGTCTGTATAGTTTTTAAAGTTACACAAAATAATACTATGGTATTTTATGGAAAAAATATTACAACACTTTTTCTATATTATCAGTAGTTTGCATATTTTACCTGCATATTTTTCTCTGACAGATTCATCCATAGACCAGAAACAATGATCATAAGCAAACACCTGTTAAAAAATTAAAATAGGTGTGCATAAAGAATAAAGCCTTCATATTATTTATAATGCTATAACAATAACAATGTCATAACATTGGTAACACTGTTCATAATAGTGCAATAAAAACAATTTACTGTCTTACAATGGGGATTAATTATTATTTATGGTACAGTCTCATAACGGACAACTAAGTACCCTGCACCTGATAAATATCTATATTTCACATGAAAACTATTCATGTTAAATGGAAAAAAGGTTATAGAATAATATGTATAATATGATGACTATTATTAGTGATGTTTTCTTCTTATGCTTTTATGTGTTTTGTACATTTTTACTATTATGATTTACTTTTGTTGTTGTTGTTTGTTGTTAGTTGCCATCGAGTCAATTACAACTCATGGCAACACCATATGTACAAAGCAGAACTGGGTTTTCAAGGTTGTGACTTTCAGAAGCAGACTGTCAGTCCTGTCTTTCAAGGTGCCTATGGGTGAGTTCGAACCTCAACCTTTCGGGCAGTAGTAGTGCGCTTAACCGTTTGCACTACCCAGGTACTCCTTGATTTACTTTTATAATTAGAGAAAGATATTTTTAAAAGAAAAAAATTTAAAGATCCTCAGTAAAGCAATGATGAAAATAGCTATAAAAGAGCAGATTATTTAAATAAATTATAACACACCCATGAGTGCAAAACTGTGCAACTTTAAGAGTACAAAAAACTTAATGACAAGAAAATGTGCATGTTAATGAAAAAGTTATGCAAACCTAGAGTATGATTCCTTATTTGTACCAAAAAAAATGTATATGCATAAAAAGTAGGAAGAATATACATTTAAAATAATAATAATAGTTAATGTTACTTGGTGGGATATTATAGCAACTTCTGTTTTGATCTTTTGCCTTATCACTACTTTCTAAAGTATGCACATATTTCTTTTGCAATCTTTTAAAAGTTTTTCATTGACTATATTTTTCATTTTTTTGAATTCTAATGGTTTTACATCTACCAGTTGATGTTTTATAATTTCATAATACCTGTTTGCCATGGATGGTACTAATTTAAAGACCTTAAATCATCTTTAAATTGCAATTTAATTTCTTTAAAATTCATTTCAGTTTCAAATTTCATCAAACTCTCCCCACTTTTAGGGTTTGTTGCTATGCTTCCTTATGACAGTTTTTTCTCCCATGTCTTTATATGTTAGTGTGCAAGCTCATTTTAATTGGGAGCTTATTATTTTATGGTTTATGTGATTACTTATTTTTTCCTCTCCCTGTGGCCTCCTTTGGAGCCCTTGTGGCATAGTGGTTAAAAGCTTGGGTGCTAACCAAAAGGTCAGCAATTCAAATCCACCAGCCACTCCTTGGAAACCCTATGGGGTTTGGAGCCCTTGTGGCACAGTGGTTAAGAGCTCGGCTGCTAACCAAAAGGTCAGCAATTCAAATCCACCAGCCACTCCTTGGAAACCCTATGGGGCAGTTCTACTCTGTCCTACAGGAGGGTTGCTATGAGTTGGAATCAACTCAACGGCAACGTCTTTTTTTTGGCGGGGTGGTTATGGCCTTCTTTACAGGAAAAGCTTCCAGTTACTGAAGCCCAGAATTAGGTCTTCTGAAGGTCCAGTATCTTGCTCCCTCCCATTGTCCAAAACCCTGTTTTAGCCCTTCATTCATGGAGGAACTCCACCCAAAATCATTTTCACATGGAGAGCTTGCCTCTGGCCCTCAACCATACATGAGTATCCTCATTAATCTGCACGAGTTGACTTCCAATCACCTCAGAGAGCTCAGTAAGTATGCTGCTTCAGCCAGGACGCTGCCGGTCCCTGAAACTATATGTTTTGGTTTTGAGAACGATGACATCATTTTTGTTGCGTTTTATTTTCTAATATTGTATTTTTTGATGAAAGTTTACCCAGGAAATTAGGTTCCCATTTAACAATTTCTATACCTATTGTTCAGTCACATTGGTTACATTTTCCACAATATATCAGCATTCTCATTATTTCCATTCCGGTTGTTCTGTTTCCATTAATCTAGCTTCCCTTGCCTTCCCATCTTTGGTCTAGGGTAAATATTTACCATTTGGTTTCATTTAGGTGATCTGAGGAGCACAGTACTCATGAGTGATGTTATTTATTTTATGGGCCAATCTGTCATTTGGCTGAAAGGTGACCTCTGGGAATGTTTTGAGTTTCAAGTTTAAAGATATCTCAGGGTGACAGTCTTGGGGTTTCATCTAGTCTCTACTGGTCCAGTAAGTCTGGCCTCTTCTAGAATTTGAGTTTTATTCTATATTTTTCTCTCATTCTATCTGGGACCATCTATTGACTCCCTAGCCAAATGGGATTATGTGATTTTAATATTTTGAAATATTTTATGTGACCCTGCTCTGAGTTTGGAATTGACAGGAGAATGTTTCTGTGTGAACTCGTAAAGTCACCTGGACCAAAAGTCTAAAAGTTAATGTTTTTAAGAAAGGAAATTAGATTGAGATGGTAAATTAAGTATACATGCCTATATCCCCCTCCTACCTAAAATTAACTCAAAGTAACGGGGAAAGGGAAGAGAGAAAAAGCAAATAGGAGCAAGTTTTTAAAAGCAGAGTGTTTGCTTGTAGCTGCAGCACAAACTGAGAAATCCCTGAAAAATAGCTATGTTGAGACTGACGGGATGGAGCGGGAGGAGGGGGTGGTCTGGAAGGAGTTGGAAGACGGAGAACCACAAAACAAAACAGTAGAAAAAGATTGCTGCAAAGGAGAAGAGCAATTCTGAGCATGCACTAGGAGAGGACCCTAGGGGCAATGAACATGGTGACTGGTTAAAAACATATTTAAAGCAAGTAAACATCAGAACACTCATGTCTTTGAGAAAAACAGCAGGCATGGAGGCATGCGTTCCCTAGGATGGGTCAGTGAGTGTTGGAATCTAGGCCAGAGAGGCAATGCAGAAGCAACTCGAAAGATTAGATTGGAACCTTAGGGGGCAGTAAGTTTATGTTAATGGAGGAAGAACAACTCAGAAAAGGAGGGTGAGAATGGTTGCACAACTCGAAGAATGTAATCAATGTCACTGAATTGTACATGTAGAAACTGCTGAATTGGTGTATGTTTTGATGTGTATATTCTCAACAAGAATAAATAAAATTAAAAAACAAATAGTGGGGGGCCTCACTATCACCAAGAAGAAGAGACAAAAGTGGAACACACCCTTTGGACCCAGGATCCCTATGCTGAGAACCTCCCAGACCCAGGGGACAGAAAGAGTGCTGTAACACTGGAGATGGCACAAGACAACAAGAAGCAGTGGCATAGGAACAGCAGCAGCAGAACCAGGAGACTAGTGTGAGATGGCACAGTGGGATTCCTGGCCCACAGAGCAAGGCGGTTACATAAGGTTTGCTGACCCATGGAGCAAGAGAGCCGAGTGCCTTTGGGCAGGAGGCTTCCTAGTGCAGTGGTGTACCTCTGGAAACTTATCGGTGGAGCTAAACAGCTTTGTAACAATTGCCTGACCAGGGCAGAGGCCAGCCCAAGGGGCCCAGGGATCGTTCCTGATCCTGAACTATAACCTGTTTCTTCCCTAATAAATCTCATAATTGTGAGTATAGTCTGTTAGTTCTGTGTGGCCATTGTAATGAATTATTGAACTCAGCAGAGAAGTAATTCTGACACCAGCTGGGGGATACAGCTGGTGTCAGAATGAGTCAAAAGGGTGGAGAGAGGAGGTATGTCTGACCTCTACCTCATAGGAATTAGCCTTAGGCTGTTGATCTTGATTCTCTCTACTTCCCCTTGTGAAGTTAGGATAGGTCAGATGCCCCTTCTGTCCTGTCATATTTACACTGTTATTGTTGTTCTTAGGTGGCATCCAGTCAGTTCCAACTCATAGCGATCCTACGTACAACAAAATGAAAGACTGCCCGGTCCTGTGCCATCCTCAAAATCATTGCAGTGTTTTAGCCCATTGTTGCAGCCACTGTGTCAATCAGTGTCGTTGAGGGTCTTCCTCTTTTTCACTGATCCTATACTTTAAAACCAAAAACCTGTTGCTGTCTAACTGACTCCAACTCATAGGGACATTATAAGACAGAGTAGAACTGGCCATAGGGTTTCCAAGGCTGTAACTCTTTACGGAAGCAGACTACCACATCTTTGTCCTGCAAAGCAGACGGTAGGTTAGAACTGCCAACCTTTCAGTTAGCAGCTGAGTGCTTTAACCACTGAGCAACCACGATGTCCTTCTCTAGGGACTGGTCCCTCCTGATAACATGTCCAAAGTACATGAGACAAACGCCATCCTCACTTTCAAGGAGCATTCTGGCTATGCTTCTTCCAAGATAGATTTTTTCCTTCTTCTGGTAGTCCATGGTATAGTCAATATTCTTCACCAACATCATAACTCAAAGGCATCATTTCTTCTTCTGTCTTCCTTATTCATATGCTTTCGCATGCATATGAGGCGACTGAAAATACCATGGCTTGGGTCAGGCAAGCCTTAGTCCTCAAAGTGACATCTTTGCTTTTTAACACTTTAAAGAGGTCTCTTGTAGCAGATTTGCCCACTTCAACCTGTCATTTGATTTCCTGACTGCTCCTTCCACTAGCATTGATTGGGAATCCAAGTAAAATGAAATCCTTGAAAATTTCAATCTTTTCTCCGTTTATCATGATTTTGCTTATTGGTTCACTTGTGAGGATTTTTGTTTTCTTTATGTTGAGGTGTAATCCATACTGAAGGCTGTACTCTTTGATTTCATCATTAAGTGCTTTAAGTCCTCTTTACTTTCAGCAAGCAAGGTTGTGTCAACTGCATATCACAGGTTGTTAATGAGTCTCACTCCGATCCTGATGCTGCATTCTGTTTCATATAGTTCAGTTTCTCGGATTATTTGCTCAGCATACAGACTGAATAAGTATGGTAAAAGGATACAACCCTGACGCACACCTTTCCTGATTCTAAACCATGCAGCATTCCCTTGTTCTATTCGAATAACTGCCTCTTGA